CATCTACAGGGGTTTTATACTTACACATACAGTATAATTACAGTACAGTACCAGTACACTAGATAATGGAAATTTCACTATTCTATATGTACAGTAAACTGTAGCACATGTTGTACACCTTCAAGCATGTGACTGTCAAATTTTATTTGTAACCATTTTTTATGTGTACTGCATTTTTGCAGAACTGAGAAATGACTGCCTAGAAATATAGCTAGTCTTGTGTCAGGAGACCAAGAAACTGCTATAGTACTGTGTACTGTAATGAAATTTGGCAAAATGTGCAGAGGATGCTAAATTAACTTTTTTTTTATTTTATTTTTTACTGTACTGTATTGTGGTGCATATTAAGTTCATACAAATCTTTGGTATTTGAACTTTTCTAGTGCTTTTCATCTACTGCAAGATTACTTTACAGTAGTAAAATTACAACTATTTTTTTCCAAAAGTTAACTGCTGAATTATACATCTGTATCTGTAATTTAATTTAGGTATACTGTAATAGACATTGAGCTGCAAAAATAATTCCTGAATCCTAGAGTTTTTTGTTACAGTGTTATTGATCTCAGTGTTCACTGGGCAGGAAAGTCATCTGTGTATTTGAATTGTAAGCATTTACAGTTTTTTTCAACTGCTTACACACAAAATCTTTACTTGTCACACAATTTCTGAAAGCTGACACTCAAACACCAGAAGCACAAATCTGCAAAACCATACACTAATTCTCGGCCTTTGACTCAGTTTTCAATTTCATATAACACTTTTTGCAAAACACAACACACAATTCTCTATGTAATACACAAAACTCTAACAGGAATTATTATTATGGCAAAGGTGTTTGCAAATGTTTGCTTTTGAGATGTGTTTGTGATATTTTGAATGCAGTGCTTCATTTTGCAAGAGATGTGAGGCATTTTGCACTTTGTGTGAAATTCCTGGATTTGTGTGTAAAGTTTTGAAAAAAAGAGGCAAAGTTTTGAAAGTGTAAGCAGTTGGAAAAAAAAAACTGTTAGAAAAACTGTAATAACTAGATTGAAAAGTTTGAAAGACAAATGAATGCTGGCTTGTCTTAAAGTCTTGTTTAAAACACGTAGATGGTTTGGTCAGATGTTCGAGATGTTTGCTAAAGTGTTGCTAGTTGGTTGCTAGGATATTCTGGGTGGTTGCTAGGCTCTTGCTATGCAGTTGCTGGGGCGGTGCTAGAGTATATGTTTGATAGTGTGTTCTGGGTGATTACAGATATTCCCACCTCAGTTCATTACAGAAAATCAAATCTGGGTGATTACAGACATTCCCACCTCTGTTAATAACAGAAAATCAAACATTGTTTTCAAAACTGATCCAGTTTCAGTGCTTTGATATTATTGTATTTCTTTCTAATGTTAGGAAATTAAAAAGTTTTCGTTGCTCTTAAACTTGCACTAAACGTGATTATACCATCTAAGCAGCCTATGTCATTTTAATAGAACTGCGTGTCTTCTTTAGTGAAAAAGCTCAGAAACATTTATAACCTGTTGAAGTTTTTTTATATTGTGCATTGACTTGGTGCCATGATGGATATTGAAATGTTAATTATTTTTCATTTTAAACAGTATAGATGATTACTTAATGGTAATACATTATGTGATCCTCATAAGGCTGCGGTTCTCTCGGTTGGTTGTGCATCTTTTTCTTCCACACTTTTTCCTTCCACTCAACTTTCTGTTAACATGCTTGGATACAGCACTCTGTGAACAGCCAGCTTCTTTGGCAATGAATGTTTGTGGCTTACCCTCCTTGTGAAGGGTGTCAATGATTGTCTTCTGGACAACTGTCAGATCAGCAGTCTTCCCCTGATTGTGTAGCCTAGTGAACCAAACTGAGAGACCATTTTGAAGGCTCAGGAAACCTTTGCAGGTGTTTTGAGTTGATTAGCTGACTGGCATGTCACCATATTCTAATTTGTTGAGATAGTGAATTGGTGGGTTTTTGTTAAATGTGAGCCAAAATCATCACAATTAAAAGAACCAAAGACTTAAACTACTTCAGTCTGTGTGCACTGAATTTATTTAATACACGAGTTTCACAATTTGAGTTGAATTACTGAAATAAATGAACTTTTCCACGACATTCTAATTTATTGAGATGCACCTGTATTTTTGCCACTAGTGGCACAGAAATCACATCTAAGACCAAACACAACTGAGATAGGCCTATTTGAACTGAGGCATATGATACTTATCGTCTTTATTATCATTTGACACAAGACAAAACTATACTGTAGGCAATTTATTTTATAAATGAAAACACAATGTTGTTGTGGTGAAAACATTTATTCACATTATTACATTATTACTGTTTACTTGGTACTATCTTTCGTAGTTCTTTAGTATTACATCACAGTAAAATAGAGTGCTGCAGGGATGACGTATTTTTGTTGGCCAAAACCCTGAAACGAGCACTTTAGCACTTCCGGTTTTTAAGACAATGGGTGTTTGGTAAAATGTCTGATGTAAGGTCTGTGTTTAACACAAGCTCAAGGTATTTCATGTTTTATTCTACGACATAAAATACATCAGTAAAACCATGTTTTTATTTTATTTTAAATTTTTTTGCTAAGTGGGACTGCAGAGGTTGTCTGAGACATGAAATGGCATCATGCTGAACAGCAAACTCATCTATTTACTAGTCATTGTGTTTATATCTTTTCAAACTCAGACTGTCAGGGAAAATGCTTTGTAAATAAAGACTGACAGAGTTGTTGAAGCTTAAAGGTGGTGACAAATGAAATCATGCGTGTGTGGGGTTTGTTTATAATCTACGTTTAGCTTTTTACTTCTCTGTATTTAGGCTTTAAAGTTGTGTTCATTTGTGGAGATTATCATGAAGAAAAACAATTGTGTAAGAATAAGCTTTTGTTTCACAGATCTTATAGCCTGCAATAATCCAAAAGCCAATGAAAAATCCTATTGGGTTCCAAGGGTAATGCTAAACCCTTGAATTTAATTTTTGAATTTGGGATGCTGCATTATATACCAACCAGTAGGGATGTAACGATTAACCGTGAGCCGGTTGAAAATCGATTCAAATATGTGACGATATCAAATCGGTTGAGATGCTAAACAAATCGCGATTCAATTAGGGGTAGGAGTTAATATGAATGTATGTGAGGGGAACTTACTGTCTTTAGAAAAGTTTAGATGGTATTTTTTCTTTTCATCTTGCCTCTGTAGTGCAGCGCTGCTTTATTTACAGCAGAAACCAAAGAAACGCTTTAAGCGCCACCTGCTGGCAGAGAGTGAATCTGCATCTCGTTCAGCTCGTCTGCTGTTTCTGTTTCATGCAGATATTTTTTATGCATAGTTTCAAAAAACTGAAGTCAAATCATTCTGTTTTTGCTTCAGATTTCGAAATTATACAATCTAATTTAGATTAAAAACTGCTCATGTTGCATGTATGCAGCATCTTTGTTTGGATCATGA